TAACGCGAGGAGGATTCGGATCGACGACCATTTGACCACAGGTGCGAACGTCTCCTCATAGTCTACCACGTAGATTTGGCTAAATCCCTTCGCCACTATTCTCGCCTTATACCGCTCTATTTCACCATCGGCCCCTTTCTTCAAAGCAAACACCCACTTACTCCCGACGACGTTGTGGGGATCGACTTCGTCTCTGCGCACAGGAAGGTAAGTACCTGTAAGGGATGGACAGGGATGGGATGATGCGCGCTTTGCGCGCATTTCATTTATTCATTTATTCTTTAATACTCTTCGTAATAAACAATGTAAAACAACTGTATATATATATAGTGTCCGGGGTCGGGGAAAGGGGCTTTGCTCTTCTCCTCCCCCCCTGTCGAATACTAGCTCCATACAGTCTATGTTCTCGACAGCCTGAGGATTGAGGAGTCACCAAGGCCGGCACCCCAACCGGCCTTACAGTACCTGTTTCCTTTAGCGCATTTAATTCGTCGGTACACGCCCCTAACCATGAGTCCGCGTCAGGACGATCCATCGCCTCGCTGTACGTTCGTGGTATTTTGATGCTCGCCGTCATTGCCCAAGCGACATTCACTGAATCAGTGGAAGGTTGAGTCCGATTATAAGAAGATCTCTCATATCGGGGGTCGTCGTCTGGAATGGGCGCGTGGCGGATTCTGGTTGAGCGGCGGGGTAGGGAGTCCTGGACTACAGGTTCAAGTTGGAGCGGGGGTGAGTTTTCATTCTCTGCTTCTCCTACTTCCGACGTTGTAGGCGGGATAATCGCCCATGCACAGACTCGGCTCGGATACCCACTTCCACGATCAGAAAACAACTTTCATTCACGCGACAACTCGATACGGATTCGGTATCTAAAAATAGTACTAATTCGTACGATTCCGACGATATCAAGAACGTCCCAATCGGTGGAGATTTGACGGAGTTCCGTGTTGGAGGAGTTAGGCACAGCAGGTCACGAGTATGTGCGGGCGTGGGAATCTCAAGCGGCAACCCAGAATTCCAGCCTCACTCATTCCCACAGCGTCTAATAAATTGGAAAAAAATGCTCATTGGCTGCATAGTAGTTCTATTCAGTCACATTTCCAATTTCGGCTCATAATTCCGTAAATCCATTGAGATATCGCTTATTTTCTTTTATTTTCAAATTTTGCCATCATTTCAGTTATTGATTGATATTCTTTTATTGTTACTGTTACCCTTTTTTATTATTTCGCCTAATAAGGTATGCAGGTGCCATATGGTACCAATATTTCCCATCAATTATTCTAAAAATAATTGTTCCTTATATCCTGTACATACCGGATTTTGGAATAGAAGTTCTCCCCTCCCCCAAAATTCTCTAAGGTGCTAGGACGCGCTAGAGAGGGTGTGAGTGTGTGGAATTCCAACAGTAGGAATAAGGGCAGTGATCTAGCTCACAACGAGTGAGTAGTGGACACTGAGCCCGGACCTTGCGGAATCCTGGAGAACCCACACGGAGTTAAGGATCGAGAACGTAGCGAGTTTAGTGGAGAAAGCAGGAGTTTGGAGAGTTTGGCCCCACGAGCTTAGTCGGCATAGAGAGCCGCTAGCCCTCTTGCAACGTCCCTCCATTATCTTCCTCTCCTTCTTCTAGATCTCCTCCATCATCATCATCTCTTTCTCCCGACTCTCCATCTTCATCCGCTGGAACGATTACGTGTGTCGGGGAGTTGTGAGACTCGACCTCGATCGTTACGCGTTCCGAGTTCTCCTCGTCGCTCTCGAAGAAATGGACATCTCTCGACTCGTGCAACTTTCGAGCCTTTGGATCCCAAATAAGAAATGCCTTCTTGCCCCGAGCTAATCCAAGGTGGATGCCGGGTTTAGAGCGATCGTCAAGTTTGCATCGGAGGTCGCGATGGATATGGAGGGTTGCATTGCACCCGAAGGTACGTAGCATCGATACATTTGGCTTGTTGCCTGTGTACCTTTCGTGGGGGGAGATGTCGTTGGGGAGCGCCGCATGAGGAGAAACGTTCTTTACGAACGTGGCGTGTTGGATAGCGTATGGCCAAGAGGTACGTCCAATTTTGGATTCGACGCTTTTCAGCATCGCGACACTCATTGACACAAGGGTTCTGTTGACTCTTTCCGCTACACCGTTTTCCTGAGGCATTCGAGGGTTGGTCTTTTCGTGAAGGATGCCGAGGGATTTGAGATAGTTGGAGAAATCGGAAGAGAAGTACTCGCCGCCACCATCTGTCCTGAGAATCTTTAACTTATTCCCAGTTTGACGTTCGGCTTCCGCAAGGAATTCTTTGAACTTATCGAGTGCGTCGGATTTGTTCTTCATTGGATATACGGTGAGGTACCGACTGAAGTCATCGACGAAAGTAATGAAGTATTTGTAGCCTTCACTCGATACTGTTTGCAGTTCGCAAACATCAGAGAATACACGACCAAGTACTTGGTCGGAGTGGGTTTGTGTTTCGGAAGGAATGGGGTTTCGGTGATGAGATGCGGCTTCGCATTCGGGACAGTAAGTTGATCAATCAGCGTCGTTTGCTCCTATAACATCCATTCCCTTAACCATTCCACTCCGCATCATCCTCAAGATCGAATCTTTTGCGATGTGCCCCAATCGGGCATGCCAGATGTCGAGGGATGCAGTAGCGGTGATGGTGCGTGCGACGTTAGCGTTGTTGGTATAGGGGTAAGTGATGAAGGCTGTGGATAAGGAGGGGATTCTCACTGGCCATCAGTAGAGGCCCTTTTCCACAGGCACGATGGTGACAAGTTTCTTGGAGGAGTCGAAAATTCGACATTTTTGGTCCCAGAAGTCTGCACCTGCACCCGATTGGTTTAGTTGGAGAACGGAAAGGAGGTTGTGTGCAATTTTGGGGCAGTAGAGGACGTTACGGGTTATGAGGGTTTCCTGTGAGTTCCCGACGTCATACTCTACTCTTATCTGTCCAATCCCCGGCGCTAAAATCACATCCTTATCTCCCAAAACGACCTTTTTAGGGACATCAAGAGGGCGATAGGATATAAACCAGTCGCGATTGCGACACAAGTGAGAAGTGGCACCAGAGTCAATCACCCACTCAGTTCGAGCATGATGATCAGGAGTAATCCCCGCATTTAGCGAGTTGAGTGTGTTTGCTACTTCCTCCGTCGTTTCAGTTACCAAGGCTTTCTCCTCATCCACAAATGTTATTGCCGTCTTCGCGGATTCTTTCAGAGCGCCTGAGCTCTGACCTTGTTTCCCCTGCCTCCTCGGTTTCTTTCCCTCGGACCCACCACCTTCCGACCAACATTGTTCGAACGTATGTCCCAAGTTGCCGCATTTAGGGTTAGTGCAGCGGACTACCGATTTAGGGGTGGCGGCGTCAGACTTGGAGCCACTGGACTTCCCTGCATTGCGGCGTTTGGATTTGCCAGAGTTAGCAAACATGGCAATAGTCTTTGGGTCAGAATTACGGAGTTTCTCTTCCGAAAGGACGTAATCGATATACCCTTCGGAATCGATGTTGTTCCTCTTCATTTGCATGAGGGCAACGCTTTTGATGGTGTGGTAGGATTCGGGGGTGGCGGAGATGAGGGCAGAGAGGTAGCTTTTGTCTCCAATTTCGAGACCTAAGGAGGTGACCTTGAGGCGCGTGTCTTCCACTTCTTGGAATTGGGGACCCAGTGGTTTAGAGTCGTCAAAGTGAAATTGGAAGAGGGAAGAGTGAAGCATGTGCATGTCTTGTTCGTCCTTTCCGACAAATCGGTCAGAGAGGGCTTTCCAGGCAGCACGCGCAGTAGGTTTGTTCCTCATCATGGACAAGCAGGAGTCGCTAACATAGCACCTCAAGTAGGTGAACGCTCTCTCATCTTTGTCGAGCCAGTCAGCTAAGGTCGGATCAGTGTCCGGGGGCCTTTCAGTGCCGCCTTTTGACACATCTTCTACGACATCCCAGATCCAGTTTATCTTCAAGACACCGCGCATCCTTGATGCCCAGTTGGAGTAAGTTTTACCATCGGCGTCTAGAATAGTTATGGGGAAACGGGTATTGTCTGTAGTGGTGGGGGCAGGGGCTGGCTGAGAAGTGGAGGGGGTAGTCTGCGACATGGGTGAGTTCTGAGTGAACTAGGCTCGTAACCTATTAGGATGTTAGCGATTTACGCTCAGTCAATCGTTGTTGAACTAATTAGATTGGAACTAATTACCTAGCGTTTTACGCTAGGGCACATGAGGGTACATGAGTGACAAGATAAATGTGTGGTAAAAGCGCAGTCTCACCTCAGTCAATCGTTGTTGAACTGAGGGAGACGAAAGTGAAAAAATTGTTCACTGCTTTTATAAGCAGTCGCCTCAATGGCGCACTGACTTTGGTAGCAGGAATACCAAGAAAGGAAATATAGCGCCGCTAGCTCAACATCACATTGTGAGTTGGCCACAGCGCACTATAACTCCCAAGAAAACCAAGATTTCAACAGGTTAATTGCGTGGGAAGTCGGGGAAAAATGATATGGTAAATGAATTTTCGGGTTCAAACACGTGATTAGTCCGTCGGCCAGATCCGAATCGTCGATATCCATTCCGATTCCGAGCGTTCTGGTTCCGGAGTACAAGGGAAATGCTGAGGTCATTACTTTCAGCACTGTCCCAGGGAGTTATACGCAGTTTCCACATATTACATAAGCGACGGATGCAGTGATTGAGTATTCCGGTTAGACCCAGGGCTGGGCTCATAACCTGTTGTAAACGCGGCGTTCCATATATGGAACGCCGCGTTTACAACACCGTCCCCCGGCATTGGCCCATGCCATCTTGGTATGGAAATTCGACGTTACAATGTGTCTGGGTATTTATGATTTAATTTTTGCATTAAGTATTGGAACGGACTACTTCAGTCGGTTTTAAAATGCGACAATTTTGGTTTTGGTTTGACACGTGACTGCCAACACTCCATTGAGCTACGGGCGACTCTGGAGTCCCAACTTGCCAATAACCTATGTCTCTCACACTCGATCTCAACTGCTGGGTACTTGGCGATGATGCTAGCCGAGTGTTCCCGGTGGAAATTTCGAATGCAAAGCCTGTTGGTGCCCTCAAGGAAGCAATCAAAGACAAGAAGAAGGTCACTCTCCAACATGTTGACGCAGACGCCCTCACGCTTTGGAATGTTTCCATCCCAGTCGACGACGGTTTCGAGGAGAAGGTTGGACTTGGAGGCGGACGAAGATTATCGCCTGTGGAGAGATTGTCCAGCATTTTTTCAGATCAACCTGATCATCAAAACCTACACATCGTTGTTCAGTTCCCGCGTGTTGGTGAGTGATAGTCAGGGAGCCATCTCTGTCTGTGACCCATTTTCTATTTCTAGTGCCACCTCCTCCTATCCTCGAACTGTACTGTCTCATTCGTGACGATGACCCCAGCCAAATATTTTCGGTCAAAATTGCGAGTACAGAGTGTGTCTCCACCCTCAAAAAAGCCATCATGGTGGAGAAGAAGGTCGCTCTCCAATACGTTGACGCGGGTGACCTCACACTCTGGATGGTTTCCATCCCATTCGACGGCAGTTTCGAGGAGAATGTGAAGAGCGCTGAACTTGAAGATGAGAAAACGCTATCACCTGTGCAGAGATTATCCGACATTTTCTTGCGTCCACCTCAGGGTAGACATCTGCACATCATTGTTAAGTCTCCGCGTAGTAGTGAGTGCAAATGATTGACTGATTGTTGTGTTTACCCCTTACCTGTTTGAACGGCGTTACTCGCGCGGTTGCCCCGTAGTCAATGCACAACAAGATATAGGTGCGCAGTCATATACATCTGGCTCCGTATGATTTGTTTACATATTCCATTATTGGCTTTCTCGTTGATACCCCCCAACAGTCCTCGTCACCGAAGAAGATCCGCTCTACGGTGGCTTGGCAATTATCCGCAACTATCTCTGGGAAAATGAGGATCATTTGCGTAACGTCATTTCTTGCTCCCCGATCCAAGTACCCGACCTTGGAGTCAATGACGAATTTCAAAAATCTGAGGCAGAGGACATCGCGATGGTTGATGCTATGGCAAACAATCAGGCAGTGTTTTATAACCTAATGGAGATCCCGGCGCTGCCGCAGAATACATCCAAGGTGCTCACGCTGAAGTTTTATGTGCGGGCCGAATACAATACCCTCGATGGATTTGTGGAGAAGCAGAGAGAATCAGATGTCGCTGGGCCCCATCCCCGCAGACCAATTTTGCTTGTCGGACAACCTGGAATAGGTCCGTGGGTTGTGCTGGATTGTCATTGCACAATGTGACTGATCACGCTCTCAAAGGCAAGACTGTCTATTTGATGTATTGTCTCGTGAATCGGCTTGCACAAGGAAAGCCCACTGTGCTTTCGAAGTCGTATTTGAGGCGTTTTGCCTTTCTCCCCTCTGGCGTTTACATGATTCCAGGTGATTCCTTTGATCGTTGGTACCATCCTGAGGTCCATGCAGCTGAAGGAACAGATTTACATGGCCTTATTCTCTGTGACTTTAGCATGGGTGAGAAGGTTGAAACTTTGCTGCGGCGATGGAGAATCTTGGTGGCCTCATCACCCAAGCCACAAGAGATGTATCGTTGGGTAAAGGAATACAATGTGACCAAGTTCTATATGAAAACATGGAGTTGGCATGAGGTGTATGTATGTCGGTGAGTCCTCAGTTGCATAGATGGAGAGGCCTAGCAGTACTGATCTCTTCCAGCCATTATGCCAGGGAGCAGAGAGTTGAAGATGATGCTTGGCATACTGCGTTTATCAAGTATGGGGGCTCAGCGAGGTCTCTACTTGATTGTACACAACAAGCCCTAGATGACAGCCTTGCTTCAGCCATTATGGAGTGCAACCTGGAAGACCTCTTCCAGCAAGTAGTGAGCCATGAACCCCAGAAATACAGCCACTATCTTGTAGAGGTTAACCCACTTCAGGATGCTGATGGTGTTGTCCTGAACCGATCAAGCCCATGCACACGGGTCATTTCTTTCTTTATTCTCACTGAACTCATGAAAAAGAAGGGATCAGAACTGGTCAATACCTCAGCCCATTACTTCTACACTTGCATGAGCCATCCTTCCACACCCTCCACAGCTTGGCTCATGTTTGAAGTTCTTGGACATGTCTATATTGTCAGCAAAGCCAAACATTTACAAGTGCTCAACACTGGCCACCAACAAGACTTGCATCTGGAACACATCAATTGTGAGAATGTACAGGTATTCTCTGGATTGGTGCCTCCATTTGGTGAGCAGGGGGCTGGTTGCCCAGATGCAACCAAGTACTACCGACCAGTGTCCAGTGATCTTGCTGGCATCAACTTATTTGCTTTCGAAATGGATAAGCAGAATGCCATCACCAGTGTTGTCATGTTTCAGTATACAATTACTTCACAACACCCTGTCAAGCCACAATTTATCAACAAGCTTTGGGATGTGCTGAAGAAACAGCACAAAGGGAAGTGGAAATGGAAGCTTGTATTTGTCATCCTGGGGGAGAACCATGGTTTTCAGAGAAGTATGCCTACCAAGGGCTTGAAACCACTGGTGGATCAATTTGTGCTGGAAGTTAATTTGGGGGATATGTGGAGTGCAATGTGCAGGTCTGTGGAGAAAGTTGGTTGATTTCATCTTACAATCTCTAGGAAATTGTCAGGGCACACCCCACCTGACCCCGCGCCGCACCGCCCTACTCCGCTCCCCCACTATCACTCCCTGTTTCTTCTTTCCCCTTTCCTTCTTTCTTTCTATTTCCATTCCATGGTCGACTTCCCCTTCTCTATGTATTACTACACACCTAACCCCGCTCCCCTGATCGCCGTGCCCGTGCTCACAGAGCGGCACACCTCCGGGATCTCCCATGGAGATGCCCAGGGGAGTGCGGTGTAGGAGAAATAATATTCAAAGAATAAAACAATGATCTATCAGAATAGTCAACGAACAGGTGACAAGTTCAGACGTTTAACAGATCTCATGATCTTTATGAGACTGGACAGACATTAGAAGATCATTATAAAATATCTACACCCATGTAGTATGAGATTTAATCTACTACAATCATGCCTAGAACTTGACATAGGTGTAATATTCAAAGAATATATCCCTACAACAAGAAAATAGCACATAGACGGCAGAATAAGAAGGAACATTGGGAAAGAAATGTAAATATCTCGGGAACCAGTAAACTTTTGACTGTAATCTTTTTACCATCTGGAAGGACTGTTTCTTAACTTTATCCACGGTTTTGTTTCATTCTAAAAGCTTCAAAACTGACGGAGATATCGCTCAAACGGCGAAACACCTTATAATTCATATATATTTATTTGCTAATTCTTACAAAAGGTAATGTGACTCAAGGGAAATATATTGGCGCCCGGAAGTCTGGCGGACCGAATACCATATGATAGAGTATTCCCCGGCGCGGGCGGACAGTTTTTGATCGCATCAGAAGAGGAGAAAATGCTAAAAAACCGGATCTTGTATATTTTCCCATGATTCATCAAAACTTTTTGATTTTAAGCCCAAATAAATCGGAACAAAGGAATGATTGATGATCTGGATCTCGGATCATAAGCATGAAGTGATTCAGAAGTCCGCGGATCAGTTAATTAATTGGGAAGGCTCTAGAACATTAGTAATGATGTGGCTTCACAAAAAGGGGTCAATTAGAGAACAGTCTAGAAAGTTCCTTTATAGCCGAGTCATTTCTAAAGATAACCGTTCGTAATTAAGGCGGTGTAGAGCATAGCTTCAGCGCTACAAGATCCCGCTGAGATCGGCCCAAAAGACAAAGAAATGAATTACTTATTGCTGAGTCATGTCCTAAGTCCATTATTAAGCTTACACAGCCCAACCCCCTATATCATTCTAGAACTATCTATAATACAAATGTAGCACATGTAACTAGTGCGAGGCGTGGGAGTAGAGAGGCCTCTGAAAAGCATAAAAGGCCACCGCTTCTGCCCCCTCTCAAACCTCAGGTAGAAATAAAAGTTTAATTCTCCTCACCAGTGGTTGGTTCGTTTGCTCCAAAAGATAAAAGCAAATATTAGTTGTTAGCTAATATAAAACTAACACGTCACTCTAAGCGTGAGTTAGGGTCAGTTAGACACAGCTGAACAAAAGTGTCATAGTGAGAATTAGTGAGAATTTGGTGGAGGGACTTCTTAATTGAATAATCTCTCAGCAATACTTGGTTATCACACCACAGGAGAAAAGTGAGCGATCCTGAACCTGCTAGATAACTAGCACGCACTCTAAGCGATAGAAAGAGCAGTTTGGTCACTCCTGTATTGAGTAACATTTATTGCAGAATTATTTTATTAGCAGTTTTCCTTCAGTAAATTATCAGGAAAATCACATCCTACTGAAAAGTGGTAAATATAGGTGTAATATTGACTAGAAATCATAGTAAAGTCAATATAGAATTTTATCCGTAGACGATCTATACATCAGGTGAGATCGTTGGGGGTGTTTATTGTTGTTTAGACAGTGAACAATCATATATTTGGCAACCAAAACACGGTCAGTACGCAAATCAGCACAAACTCTAATATCGTTATTGGACGTAGGAAACTGGTTACATAAGGTGATCCAGCTCCGCTCCTTCAGCGGCTGTGTGCAGGGATGACGTGGCTCCTCCCATGTGACCCCAACCGCATGTATATAATAGCACCTGGGGTGGGAACAGAAGAAGCAGCCTTCTTCTCAACTTCCCACTTCAGACTAAGTGGTTGGGGATGCTCACCCCGCAACGGGACCGCCGCTACACATAGCTGACACCTGTCCCATCGAGTCCCTCGCACCGGGACCTTGCCACTTTCGGAGCTGTCCCTGACAGAAATTTAGCCTTCCCATATCAGAATCTTTCCTACATGTGTCCTTCCTACTTTCTCATTGGAAAATTGCTCAAATTGTATAATACAGTCAGGTACCAGTGAGGACATTTGTTCATTGTGATCAATTGGCCTTGTGTCAGAGACTGGATTCTAAAGGGATTGTTATAAAAATGGGGCCTAATTGGCCCATTTCTATAGTGTTCAGGTGCAGGGAGTGGCTGTGACATTGAAATCGTGTTACAGTTAATGTAACAGATGTTTAACAGTTGTCTTTACAATGACATTAACAGAGTGTGGATTTTGATGATTGTAGATGGTTAAGTTGTCACTATTTACATGTCACGTGATATATAGTACCCAGGGCCCATAAGCGGCCAGAAATGGGAAATTCCCATTTCCATAACAGGGATGATATGACTCAATGATCAGAGGGTGTCATATCCATACATACCTGATCTGTCACGACCGACAAATCCCAGGGCTCTGTCAGCGGCGAATTGATGCCGATAGGCGAATCCACCAACCCAAAACCCAATCTAACCAGCCCCCAATCCGATGTCTGGCCCCCTGCCCTATCAACCATGCACTGCATCCAGACCTCCACCTGCATCCGGACTTCTGCCCGCATCCGGACCTCCACCCGCATCTGTACCTCTGCCCACCTCCACACCCTCTGGACCTCTGCCACTCCTGGTTGCCCTCCACACCCTGTGGTCAGGCCAACACTCCCCTCCGACCTTGCTGGCCATCATGCTGCCCTTGTTTGTGACAGCACTGACAGACCACCCTCTGTTGCGGACTTGTCAGCACTGCACTGATTTCCATGTCCCTTCACGGACTTGTGTCGGCACCGCACCGACCCCGCTTATTTGCAGACTTGTATCGGCACCACGCACTGAAGGAGTGAACGAAGGAAGGTCAGTTGGGAGGTTCAAACGAGACCACCACCAAGCTGTTCCCTGGTTCTTTAGTTAGGATGGGGAAGTGTACTAGTGTTATTTATTGTAAATAAAGTACCAATCCGAGTGTTTTGGCTAATTCTATTTTTATGGGTTAGTTTTAAAGTTCCTGGGAATTGACTTACAGATAAACCGAGCCCTGCAGAGCTGTTTCTTTATTGAAATTTATTAATTTGTCTAGGTGTAATTCTGTGTAGCGTTGTTTAATTTGGATTTAAACTTGAATTTAATCTTCTACTTAGTGAAGTTTCAAAGATTTTATTCAGTTAATGAATTTGGATTGTGTCTGGAGTGTCCCTTGAGTTTGTTCTATTTTTGTCTTATTTTATTGCTTGTTTTAACAGTAGCAAAATAACTGTTTTGTGTTTACACTTTGAAATCTGGAGTGTTAACCAGCTCTCCTGTTGAAATATCTACTTAATATTTCTCTCCTTTATTGCTGCCTTTTACTACAGTGGCAATCTTAACTGTATATCACTTTTTCGCACTGGAGTGACAACCAGAAATGCTTGAGAAAAATAATACTCTATTTTCTTACTTTTTCTAAGGGGGGCGAAAAGTCACAGAAAGGGTCTCCCTTTTATACTCCTTGGGTCGCCTTCCTTTTTCACACTCTACCTTCTATTTACAGGATTTATTTACAGTGTATTTTTCTCAAACTGAATAAAAATGAAATTTTCATGCTATAGTTCTACTGCGCTTTTGCTGCACTGAACTGCGGTTCTACTGCGGTCAGACTGCGCCTAGAATTCTTATTGTCCTCCCTTGCCTAAGCTATTTTAATGGTTAATTGGAACTTGGCTGCGCTGCATTTGCCGCAGTTACCTATTTCAAATTCCCTATATATACCGTTAAATTTGCTATGACTCGATGATTCTGAATTCAAACTTCGCATTACTATGCATACGGCTATGCTGAGACCTTCAGCTGATTTATTCCATTTTTATTTAGTGACATTTAGTTAAAATGAGACTGAAATGGTAAATGAGTGAATTATTCAGGTTTAAAACTGAATGAAAAAGTTGCTAGTAATCAAGAATTACTCAAACGAATGTGTTATAGCTCTCCTCCTCATTAGAATATTGTTCCCTAAAATTCCCGCCATGGTCCATCGTAGTTTAGTGGTTTTCGTGAATTTCGTTCATATTCCCTGATTCCCTTTTGTATTATCACATCCTAATCCTCCATATGTATTGTTCGTTGTTATAGTAGGTCGTCCTTGAAGATTTCATATTTTTATGTATTTTATTTAGGACTCTGGACCTCTTGAAGCTGTTTTCCCGCGCGTTTTCAGGTTTCTAACTTCATGTCCCTATATCTCATTCATTTCTGGATGTTTTCTCACGTTCTTGGTATCATAAATTTTCATTTATTCCCACCTTTCCAATGGTACCAAGGTTGTGTCCTATTTCCTGGTATTTGTTGAGTTAGCAAAAGTTCGTGTGCACATTCGGTAATCACGTGCGTCATTCCCATAGTCGTTCGTATGCGGGCGCCGTTTCCGTTTAATTGTTCGGGATTTATGATATGCGTGGGTGTTTATTTCTTTCATATGGGCTTCTGTGATTTATTTCAGATTTTTCCCTCATGATTTAAGGTTGTTTTGCACTTTCCGTGCTTTGTTTTGACCGGGCTCTTCCTTATTTGGACGGAAATTGGTCTTCGCGATCTGCCGAAGTGCGGATCTCAGTTCCGATGGCCGGTTCCCTGCACATCGCCACCCTCATGTGTCATTACACATGATGCGGATTTCTATATTCCCGTCATGGGTATAACTTCACAACGGCTGGACTGTTTGGGCTGAAAATTTGCATAACTATAGTTCCCCATTTTTAATAATTTCCGTGTAAATTTCGTTGTATATTGTAACTATGGATCCTACGCAAACATCGTCTTTTCCCTAAGCTCGGACTTTTGATGTCACTATTCCCGTTATTGGATATCTCATTAACGCATGATCCTTTTATTATGAAAATTTGGGAGGATTAAGATTGGATCCCTTCCTTTTTAATGGGCTATCAAGCTTGTCTCGGTCGTTACTGGTTAATCTTCGCGCTTCCCTTTTAGGCATTGTCCTCGTTTTGCAGGAGTTTTAGTCATATCTCC